CTCTTATAGTTAGGACTGACTCTTATAGTTAGGGCTGACTCTTAGAGTTAGGACTGGCTCTTATAGTTAGGACTGGCTCTTATAGTAAGGACTGGCTCTTACAGTTAGGTCTGACTCTTATAGTTAGGGCTAACTCTTATAGTTAGGACTGACTCTTATAGTTAGGGCTGACACTTAGAGTTAGGTCTGGCTCTTAGAGTTAGGACTGGTTCTTATAGTTAGGGCTGACTCTTAGAGTTAGGTCTGGCTCTTAGAGTTAGGACTGGTTCTTATAGTTAGGACTGGTTCTTATAGTTAGGGCTTACTCAGAGTTAGGACTGGTTCTTATAGTAAGGGTTGACTCTTATAGTAAGGAATAGCTCTTATAGTTAGGGCAGACTCTTAGAGTTAAGGTTAGCTCTTATAGTTAGGGCTGACTCTTATAATAAGGCTGACTCTTAGAGTTAGGACCAGCTCTTACAGTTAGGGCTGACTCTTACAGTTAGGTCTGGCTCTTACAGTTAGGGCTGACTCTTAGAGTTAGGACCAGCTCTTATAATTAGGGCTGACTCTTACAGTTAGGGCTGACTCTTATAGTTAGGGCTGGCTCTTATAGTTAGGACTGACTCTTATAGTTAGGGCTGACTCTTAGAGTTAGGACTGGTTCTTAGAGTTAGGACTGGTTCTTATAGTTAGGACTGGTTCTTATAGTAAGGACTGGCTCTTACAGTTAGGGCTGACTCTTATAGTTAGGACTGACTGTTATATTTAGGACTGACTCTTATAGTTAGGGCTGGCTCTTATAGTTAGGACTGACTCTTATATTTAGGACTGGTTCTTATAGTTAGGGCTGACTCTTATAGTTAGGACTGGTTCTTATAGGAAGGGCTGACTCTTATAGTAAGGAATGGCTCTTATAGTTTGGGCTAACTCTTACAGTAAAGGCTGACTCCAATAGTAAGGACTGGTTCTTATAGTCAGGACTGGCTCTTACAGTTAGGGCTGACTCTTATAGTCAGGCTGACTCTTAATAGGACTGACTCTTAGAGTTAGGGCTAACTCTTATAGTAAGGCTGACTCTTAGAGTTAGGACCAGCTCTTATAGTTAGGGCTGACTCTTATAGTAAGGCGGACTCTTATAGTAAGAGCTGACTCTTATAGTTAGGGCTGACTCTTGTAGTAAGGGATGGCTCTTATACTCAGGACTGTCTCTTATAGCAAGGAGTATCTCTGATAGTTAGGATTGACTCTCATAGTTAGGGTTGGCTCTTATGTTTAGGGCTGGTTCAGGCTTGCCTTGGACCAACCCCTAGTCAGGCTGTTAGAGACCTCGTCTGCCAGGGGACCTTGTATGATACACAGAGCCCCTTCTCTCCTTTTCTCTCTGACAATCTGAAATGTCTGTTCTTCTTTATTTGCTAACTGTGCTTCATGTCACTGACTCGGCTTCATTTCACTTACTCGGCTTCATGTCACTAACTCGGCTTCTTCTCCAGAGCCATTGTGCTCCACTGTCTTGCAAGTTCCCTCGATTCAAGGCTACGCCTGGATCAAGTGTTGTGCTCCAAAGTTAGGCTACATTTTGGCAAGGGGAAAATCCACAGGGCCATTTACACAGACGACCTTTGACCTCTGACCTCCAGATATCTGAACAAAAATGGGTTCTTTAGGTCCCCACAAGTCTCCCCTTTACAGACATGTTCTCTTTATGTCAGTCCCTACAGTCTGAGGAACAAACTATGCAGCTTTTTTCTACGCAAAGATTTTTTCTAACAGATGTTTATATTAGAAAGGAACACAGGACTAGTCGACCGTTGACCAACTGAGACCCTGTGTCCTCATTAGAGGACATCATATTCTGGGTTTGCTGCACATTACACTTCATCCTGCTTCAGACCTGTTGTCCTCGAACGTGGACACTTTTTGTGCCATCTACTGACAGTGACAAGGCCTCTGATTGGTCACAGAGAATCAACCTGATCTGAGAGCAGCAGAGTGATTGAGTTCAGGATGTTGTTCTTAAATCCGCCTGTCGTGACGCTTCAGGTCAAACTTGTTGTTTTGACCCATATAACCAATTGCTTTTCACTCTCAGTAACTGTCCCTCATCCTGAGCTTCCCAGAATGCAACCTGCTGCTGCTGGAGGCAGATTAACCCCCCCAGAATAGTTCCTGATCCTCGGTGAGCCTGACCACCACTCAGCGGCTTAATACGCCTCCACTGTGGCACCTGAACACCTCTGCTTCTTCCTCTCATGACTCCACATTTGATGGATACTGAATCTCAGTGCGACGCTTCGTCTGAACGCTTCAGTGTTCATTAGAAAACATTGTCTGACACAAGGAACATGAAACTAAATGTTCCAGACAGATTTCAGTGCACGATCAGACACAGTTTGATGAGACATCTTAAAATCAGCCTTTTTAAAAATGGTGTCTGGTGTGAGCGGTGATCAGCCCGTTGTTGTTTGTCATGAAGCCGTTGCTCATTCAGTGCTAATGCTAATCAGTGGCTAATCAATTACAGAGTTAACCCAGAGCATTTAAGGTGGCTTTGGTTAATTTCCTGCAGGTGTGCTGTGATTATCAGATTAAGAAGAGCAGTTATCCTGCGTTCACCTCCAGAAGAAAGTCCTCACTTTTCTTTTATCTCACAACAAACAGAAACAGAAACCTTTTCTTCACTTCCTGCTGTTTGTACTCAAAGTGCTGCTCCCTTCACCAGCCCCGTCCCCTGGGCCTCCTGTCCAATCAGATACTTTCAAAACATTATCATGGCCTTGACATCAGAGATCAAGAAACAGAAACCAAAGATTCTGATAAAGGCCCAGAGGTGGAAGCATCGGCAGCCGGAGTCAGGCCAGGTTATTTGGCCTGATTCTGGGCCATCATTCATCCCAAGTTTCAGCTGAATTGGGCAGCCAGATGCGGCCTGAGTTATCTCCTCCAGCATGCCGAGTTCATGCCGATGCTGGGCCAGGTCATTCAGACCACCTGGGGATCATTGGTGAATTTGAGTTCATCAAAGAATAAAAATCTTTCAGAGCAGAAGAAGAAAAAACAAACTCACAGTCATATGAGCGCTCATCAGACTCTCTTCTCATTGGCTGGTTAATTAAAGATCACTGACCAATCAGGTTAGAGCTCAGACTGACTGGTGGCGCTGAAGTTCCTCTAAATGCTCTTACCTCTTTGTGGTCTTTAGTGTCTGTTTGTAGTTGTTTAGTGTCTGTTTGTAGTTTACTGTATCTGTGACGTTGTTTAGCATATCTCTGTAGTTGTCCAGCATCTTCTTGTAGTTGTTTAGCATCTGTTTGAAGTTATGCATATCTTTGTAGTTGTTTAGTGTATCTTTGTAGTTGTTTTGCGTGTCCTTATGGTTGTCAAGCATCTCTTTGTAGTTGTTCAGTGCCTGTTTGTAGTTTAATGTATCTTTGTTGTTGTTAAGCGTATCTTTGTGGATGTTTAGCACATTGTTATGTCTTTGTAGTTGTTTAAATGGACCTGCATTTGTATAGCGCCTTTCTAGTCATCTAGTGACCACTCAAAGCGCTTTTTACACTACGAGTCACGTTCACCCATTCACACGCACATTCATACACTGGTGGCCGAGGCTACCATACAAGGTGCCACCTGCTACTCAGTTTTAACACACTCACACACCGATGGAACAGCCATCGGGAGCAATTTGGGGTTCAGTATCTTGCTCAAGGATACTTCAACATGCAGCCTGGAGGAGCCCGGGATCAAACCGCTGATCTTTCGATTGGTGGACGAGCCACAGCCGCCCCCTAGCGTCTGTTTGTAGTTTAATGTGTCTTTGTTGTTGTTTAGTGAATTTTTGTAGTTGTTTAAGGCCTCTTTGTAGTCGCCTTGCATCTCGTTGTAGTTGCGTCTGTAGTTGTTTAGCATCCGTTTAAAGATTTGCCTACGTTTGCAGTTTTTTTTTAGCATATCTTTGTAGTTGCTTAGCGCATCTTTGTTGTTAAGCATGTCTTTGTATTTTCGAGCATCCTGGTAGTCGTTTAGCATCTGTTTGTAGTTTAATGTATCTTTGTAGTTGTTTAATGTATCTCTGTTGTTGTGTTGTGTATCTTTGTAGTTGTTTTGGGTTTGTTTGAAGATTTGCATATCTGTAGTTTTTTAGCACGTCTTAGTGGTTGTTTAGTGTCTCTTTGTAGTTGTTAAGTGTGTCTTTGTTCTTTCGAGCATTCTGGTAGTCGTTTAGCGGCTGTTTGTAGTTTAATGTGTCTTTGTAGTTATTAGTGTCTCTTTGTAGATATCCTATCAGCTTTCATCAGGCTCTCATCTCACGGATTGGTTAATTGAAGGCCTTCCTGTTGAAGGAACAGTTCAACATGTGGTGAACCTCTCTTCTTCTGTTTCCTGCTAAGGTTTCAATGTTCAGACTGATGACTCGACATGACTGGCTCCAGTCTAAAGACTTCCTGTAAAACTTCAAACTGTTGTTTTTATACTTCAGATAAAACAAACCAGACAGATCGTGTCTACCAGCTTTAGAGGAGGTGGAGCCAGGCTGTTTTAATTTGTTTCCAGTAATCATAAGTGCTATATCATAGGCAACTGGACTTGCTTGTGTTTCTTGAAGACGTGTTGCCTTGCATCCAAGAAGCTTCTTCAGTTCTAAATGACTGGTACGAAATTGCAGGCTATAAACCCTGTGTGGGTGGGAACCCTTGTAGAGTCGCAGGGGTCATAGACCAGTAACCAGTCATTTAGAAGCTTCTTGGATGAGAGGCGAAACGTCTTCAAGAAACACGTCCAAGTCCAGTTGCCTACGATATAGCACTTACGATTACAACAATTTGTTTCCAGTCTTTGTGCTAAGCTAAGCTAACCAGCTGCTGCTCCATATTCAGCATACAGACATGAGAGTCTTATCTGAGGATCTGAAGATGATTTCACCAAACGTTGAACTGTTCCTTTAAGCCACAGCGTGGCCCAGGCTGGATGCTGATTGGCTTTAGTGGGTTGAGGGTGGAGCCTTACCTCCAGGAAGATGGTGGCGATAATGAGCACGCCGATGCTGGTCATCATGCTGCTGAAGTAGGCAAAGAGGGCCTCGCGGCAGCCTCGGGTCCAGATGTTGAGCTCCTCGATGCGATGGTCGTAGTCATAGTGGGCGGAGTTATTGGTCAGGTGGTGCTGGATGCAGGGCCGAGGGGAGCCAGGGTTACAGCAGCTGAACGGGACACTGTCCATCAGGTACTTCCCCTCCACATTACTGAGGACACGACTGCAGGACAGAGACAGTCAGTTAATCTTAAGTACAGAGAGGTCAGGGGTCAGAGGTCAGAGGTCAGACACACTGCCCAGCTGGACGGCACAGTCATGGGTGTAGGGATGGATCACTGAGTGGGTCTACCAGGACACCCTGAATCCCCTGAACCCTGCTGAATCCACCTGAACCCTGGACCAGAGCCTCTGTTTGAAGTTACTGCTCACATTTGTTTTTTGGATGTTAATCAACTGCAAAATGAACAGGAAGAGACACTTTGAGGTCATGTTGAGTCTCTTTGTTATAGTTTGATTAGAAATGTGAACAGTGAGTCAGACAGAGGCTCCGTTTCAAGGTTTTCGTAAGCTTTTACTAATTTTGGTGACCTCTTGACCTTTACTTTGGTGCCACCATCAGGAGAAAACAGTTCACTTGTTCAAAGTCAGTCTCAGTTCATTTCAGTCTAATCATCATCATCACCATCAGCACCATCGAGTTTGTAAATCTGTGTCGTTGACTTCAGTTAAACAGGACGAAACATGACGGTGACTTCAGGAGGTCAAAGGTTTGTTCCTCTGATGAAGGAGAATGATAAACAACAGTATCATCAGCGTATGAGACGAGAATCTCTCAGAGTCTGCACTGTTAGCGCAGATACACATGTAGAGTTTGTCCTAAGGATGGAAGGAAAGATCCTGTGGTTTCATCCTCTGGAGACCAGGAAAAAGATCAGGACACTTCGTCAGAACAATGTTAGACAGCAACAGGACAACTGTGTCCGTTTTCACCTCTGACTGAACAATCCTTCCTCCAGAGTAAAAACACACGTTACTGATGTTGACTGATGTTTTCTTTGTTACTGGTCTGTAAACAGATGTCGTCTCTGTGCGTCAGGAGCAGGATGACATCACCGTCTCTTTGTTAATGACCTGTCAGGTATCAGGTGACATCACCTGGCAGAATCGGACTGTTACCTTCCTAATATTTGTGCACTGGTAAATGTTTGTATTCTCAGACAGTTTGTATATTTTAAGTCCAGACATAATATTACAGATTTTAATTCATCAGACTGTGTCAGACTGAGAGGTTTTTATTTTACACACAATGTTTCTTATTTACAGAGAAGCTTCATTTAAGCTTTAAGACCACGACCTGAGTGTTAACTGTTACTGACAGAAACCAGTGTTAGCTTAGCTCCAGTTTTCAGATGACAAGCCAAAAAACTAGAATTTAGTGATTCTGAAGAAAACTAATGACAGCTCCCGAGAGTCACAGCCCTCAGGACCTGAACCATGTGCTGTCTAGGGTTACAACGGTATGAGATTTTCATGGTATGATAACGTCCCAGAAAATATCACACAGTTATTATTATTATCATTATTATCATTCTTATTATTGTCATTATTATCATTATTATTTACCATCAGTCAGACTGATCCTTGAAGACACAGAAGGATTACTGTTGGTTTTATTTCTATAACTGAAACTTGAAATGTGTTTTTAATGAAGTTTGTGTAAAAAGTTTCCTCTTAAAAAATAACTCCGATAATAAAGACAAGATTTAACCACTGGCTATAGTTTATTTTTTGTATCATAGATTATTAAATGTACACAGAATGATGACTGTTTCAATATCACGGTATCCTTAAAGCCAGTACACTGCTGTAACTGTCGTGCTGTCACAACTTAAATCATCAAAATTATAAAACTCAAAGCTAAAATCTCTGTAGAGCTACATTGGCATAAATGACGGTGTAATGCTGACATGAACAACCTGACACAGTTGGATCATTTGAAGACGACGTTACAGACTGATGACATTGAGAACACATCAGAGGGCTGATGGGATGTTTCACTTTTCTCTCTTTGTGACGTCATAAAAAACGAAGCATCAGTCAAACTGATGATGTTTTGATATCTAAGAAAACTCAAAGCAGATATAGCATAAGTGTGTTGTCAGAAGGAGGCGCTGATCAACCTTTATCACCTCAGTGACCTGTGAGTTCACCTCGTAGTTCATCTGAGCTTTTTCTAATTGCAGTCTGATCCATGACGACAGGTCGGAGTGTATCAGTATGAATATCATCAGACCCGCCCACTGATGATGCAGTCTGGTGATACGTTCTGATGATGCAGTCTGGTGATACGTTCTGATGATGCAGTCTGATGATGCGGTCAGATGATGCAGTCTAGTGATACGTTCTGATGATGCAGTCTGATGATGCGGTCAGATGATGCAGTCTAGTGATACGTTCTGATGATGCAGTCTGATGATGCGGTCAGATGATGCAGTCTAGTGATACGTTCTGATGATGCAGTCTGATGATGCGGTCTGATGATGCAGTCTGATGATACAGTCTGATGATGCGGTTGGATGATGCAGTCAGATGATACGTTCTGATGATGCGGTCAGATGATGCAGTCTGATGATACGTTCTGATGATGCAGTCTGATGATGCGGTCGGATGATGCAGTCTGATGATACAGTCTGATGATGCAGTCAGATGATGCAGTCTGATGATGCAGTCTGATGATGCGGTCGGATGATGCAGTCTGATGATGCAGTCTGATGATGCGGTCGGATGATGCAGTCTGATGATGCGGTCGGATGATGCAGTCTGATGATGCAGTCTGATGATGCAGTCTGATGATGCAGTCTGATGATGCAGTCTGATGATGCAGTCTGATGATGCAGTCTGATGATGCAGTCTGATGATGCAGTCTGATGATGCAGTCTGATGATGCAGTCTGATGATGCAGTCTGATGATGCAGTCTGATGATGCAGTCTGATGATGCAGTCTGATGATGCAGTCTGATGATGCAGTCTGATGATGCAGTCTGATGATGCAGTCTGATGATGCAGTCTGATGATGCAGTCTGATGATGCAGTCTGATGATGCAGTCTGATGATGCAGTCTGATGATGCAGTCTGATGATGCAGTCTGATGATGCAGTCTGATGATGCAGTCTGATGATGCAGTCTGATGATGCAGTCTGATGATGCAGTCTGATGATGCAGTCTGATGATGCAGTCTGATGATGCAGTCTGATGATGCAGTCTGATGATGCAGTCTGATGATGCAGTCTGATGATGCAGTCTGATGATGCAGTCTGATGATGCAGTCTGATGATGCAGTCTGATGATGCAGTCTGATGATGCAGTCTGATGATGCAGTCTGATGATGCAGTCTGATGATGCAGTCTGATGATGCAGTCTGATGATGCAGTCTGATGATGCAGTCTGATGATGCAGTCTGATGATGCAGTCTGATGATGCAGTCTGATGATGCAGTCTGATGATGCGGTCGGATGATGCAGTCTGATGATGCAGTCTGATGATGCGGTCGGATGATGCAGTCTGATGATGCAGTCTGATGATGCGGTCTGATGATGCAGTCTGGTGATGCAGTCTGGTGATATGTTCTGATGATGCGGTCAGATGATGCAGTCTGATGATGCAGTCAGATGATGCAGTCTGGTGATGCAGTCAGATGATGCAGTCTGGTGATGCGGTCTGATGATGCAGTCTGATGATGCGGTCAATGTTACCACCCACACCACCCTCACACACTCAGAGCGCAATGACACATCTGTGAGAACACTTTTTATCAACTACAACTCAACATTCAACACGAATTCTCTGAACGCTCCTCACCCTACAAACCAACGCCATCCTTCTGTACCTGAGCTGAACTTCCTGTCAGACCAACCTCAGGTACATCTGGGTATAAGAGGTATAACCACAGGGATCCCTCAGAGCGGCGTGCTGAGCCTTCTGCTGTTCACACTCTTCACTGTGCGACCTCAGACCAACAGCAGATTTATTAAACTCTACAGTCAGCTGATCAGTGGAGGGGCAGGGACTTCCTACAGAAGATGTCAGAGTCAGGAAAATAATTTCTCCCTGAACGCAGAACAATGAGGTGATTACTGAGCCTCAGAGGAGGAACGGGCCGCACACGCCACGACACATTGCTGAGTTTCACCTGGTCTCAGATCATCAGGAAAACTCTGCAGCAACTGACAAATGCCAGCTGAGATCCTCAGCAGCTGTTACAGACACACAGCAGAGTGTTGTCACCAGTTCAACTACAGTCTGCAGAGGAAGTCCTCCCAATCAGGACAGGAAGTCCCTCCAGGGTCTGATAAAATCTATACAGCTCATCTCAGGAGCAGTGTCCCATCTGTTCAGGAACTTTATAACAATGAGGACATCAGGATGGTCCATGACATCATGGAGGACAGAACACACCCCCGACCACAGTCTCTGCTGCCGTCAGGCCAACGGTACAGGACGGTGACATCAGGGACAATGACACAGACCGACAGCCCAACCACCACCATTATCACCACCATCATCACCACCATCACCACCATCACCATCATCATCATCATCACCATCACCACCATCACCATCATCATCATCACCATCACCTAACACACACCTGACTGACAGCTTCACCATCAGACTGCTGAACATCAGCATCAAACACCCAACAATCATTCATTCATTTATTTTTCTTGAAACTGAACCTTAATTTTAATGTGATTGTTTGTGTGAAGAGAGAAATTAACATTTTCATTGTACGATATAAAACCGCTGAGTTTTTACTGAACATGACGATAAACTTCTGAAATCTAAAAAAAAACAAAAACAAGAAAAACAAACATTTAGATAAAAAACATCAGTCAACGTCACGTCATAGTGTTTTGATGAAAATATAACAGGTCATAGTTTGACTTCAACAGATCTGGCACAAGACTCCTTGCACTGTCACTGACATCATCACCTTCCCTCAGGCCTGATGGCTGATGGGTAAAATTGGATGATGATAAATAATCAGAGAGACAGTGACATCTGTTAACACACAAACGTGCAAACACACATCTACAACTACACACCTGCACACATACATCTGTCTTACTGACCACTCCCTGTCAGAAAACTGTTGGTTGTTTCTCAGCAGCTGTCGTGGCAAGCGAATCGAGCGCTCCCTGAGCAGACAGGTGTGGTTTAACCTTGTCATGTCAGCGGCAGCGAGCTGGAAATCAGATCCTGACAGATTATAGACTTAAAGCGAAGAGGCCGGTACATCGACCTCCTGCACGGGAACTTTTACCTCCTTAATTCCCTCAGTTATCCTCCACTGACCCTGATACCCAGCTCTCCCTGTCAGCCCGCTCAGCTCACCACAGGTCGGACACCTGAACCAGGCAGTGTCCACAGGAAGCTCAAAGTCGAACCTGAGTTCAGAGGAAATGAACTTCAGAGGAAGTGAGAAATAAAACACCCTGATCAGAGGTCGGCTTGATTTGACCCTGAGGGAAACAATCAGTAACAGGACAAGGTTCATAAATCAGAGTGAGGAGACAAAGACGTGAGACCCGCAGACGGACGTCTGTTTCACAGCTGCAGCAAACTCTTTGATTATTCTTTGGTCGTTTAATTAATTGTGCGGTCGATAAAACATCAGTCAACGAACTGATGATCAGACTGTCTGAGCTGGGACCGATCGATGTGTTGTTGGGTGGGTGCGTTAAACAGTGGGTGTGTTATTCGGTCAGCGTACTCACTCTTTGACCTGATCGTTGCTCATGTCCAGGTAGCGGTTGCTGATCCACTGAACCTCGAACCAGTCCCTGAAGTTGTTGTTTCCGCAGCAGCGAAACTCGATCTGCGTCATGTCCAGTGTCCTCTTCATGAAGCAACGTCCCGGCGTGTCAGTGTCCTTGTAGAACTTGATGCTGTTCTTGAGACCCTCGGCCAGCGTCAGGTACACGGCGAACTGCATAAGGAAGCAGAACAGCGCCGTCAGCAGCAGCAGCGCGTTGAAGCCACAGCACAGCAGCAGATACGACTTCAGCATCGGCTTCCACTTGGCGAACTTGATGGGGTCCAGAGAGTCGTGGCACACCTTTCCTCCGAAGGCGTTGACCCCGCAGGCCAGCAGGCCCACCAGGATCAGCAGGTTCGGCACTAAGTGGCTCTCGTTGTTGTCCATCATCTCGCTTCTCTTCCGCAGCTCGATCTTGAAGAAGATGCCCAGGCTGAAGATGAGGATGCCCACGATGACAGAGAGCCAGTAGATCATCCACAGACCCTGAGCCAGCTTCACCCGCTTTTGCAGGTTGAACTTCACTGGCATGAACGGCATCTTACCGTCTCAGTGTGACCGCAGCCAAAATCACCAAATGTCAGGTACCAACAGGAAAAGAGTTTGTTTGAAGAGTGACTCAAGAACCCGTCAGAGTTTCAGAGTTTTAATCCGTCACAGAAAGACTCGCTCAGAACGCCTGCTTTCAGACCCATAATGCCGAGCTGCAGGTCAGGACAGTCCATAGTGCTGGGGGCGCAGATCAAACCTAATATTCACATCCAGCCGTCAGACGTGTGGTGGTCTCTTGGTTTCCTGCAGAGAGAAAGTGTGAGTGTGAGCGGGCAGCAGCTCGTCATCCTGACCCTGTGATCGGCTCTGATCTCATTACAGCAGATCAGCTGCGTCTTTAATCCGCCGACTTAACGATAATTGGTTTGATGTTAAGCAGCAGCAGCTTCCTCCTCACAGAGCGCAACACCTCAGCAGCTCACCTATCCCCCCTCGCTGCAAGTGATCCTCACACACAGGAAGTCATCATCCGTCCACTCAGCAAACAGAAGACCAGAAACTTCCTGTGACAGACGTGGCGCTGTTGGGGCAGTGAAGGCTGTTACCATGGAAACATACCAGCCAATCACATCACAACAAGTTTGAGATGATGATCACTCTGCGGTCACTGTGGTGGATTGTTCCCTCTGGATTGGGAGAAAGTTTCTGAACTAACAGAAGGAGTTCAAGTATCTCGTGGTCTTGTTCACAGTGAGGGTAGAATGGAGCGTGAGATAGTTCGGCAGTTTGGTGCAGCGCCTGCAGTGATGATGGCGCTGTGCTGAACTGTCGTGTTGAAGAGGGAGCTGAGCCAGTAGGGCGAAGCTTTCCATTTCCTGGTCCATCTCCATCCCAACCCTCACCTATGGTCATGAGCTCTGGGTAGTGACTGAAAGAATGAGGTCACAGATACAAGCGTCTGAAATGAGTTTCCTCTGTAGGGTGTCTGGGCTCAGCCTTAGAGATAGGGGGAGGAGTCAGACATCTGGAGGGAGCTCGGAGTAGAGCCGCTGCTCCTTCATGTGTAGTGTAAGATTTAATCTTTAATCAGGTAAAGGTGTTATACTGCATAAGTTGATTAAGAGTAAAAGTTCATATAACAATGTTTTATGTATAAGTTCCTATAAAACTGTTTGTTATGCATCTTTGTGTGATGAAACACTGTTATACAAGTCTATGTATTCATAACACAAGGTTATGTATTCACGTTGAAAAGCACACATATACCACACCATGTACTGTCTGATGATAACACACACACTCTAATGTTTGTATAGCATGACACACACTCTAAAGTTAACATTGTATGAAAGCACAGGGGACAGTATAAAGAAAGTCCCCAGGTTTCATATGTTTTTAAAAAATAAAGTGAAACCAGGCTCGAATCTAATGGTGGGAGAATTTGGAGATTTCCAGGTCCGGAGATTACACCATTAGGTCATGTTTGGACAAGGGCCCAAGGGGCCTGCCACCAATAGATTTGGACCAGATGGAAAAGGGCTAAAAAGAAAAAGACCTGCCACCAATAGATTCAAACACAGGTAGGAAGGACTAAGGGAAAAGGGTGGAGATTCTCTCGAATCTTCACCAGCATAAAAGGGAGAGCGCAGAAAGTGAAACTTCAGTCTTGCTCTGGAGCCTGACTCATAGAGTTGTATGTGTTGATGCTTGTGAACACATTAAACTCGATTGCACCAGATTCTCTTTGACTCCAGTGTTTCTCTGAGTGTCAGCCAACTGAACCTAAGATACTAAATCAACTCAGAGGACGATCTGCAGGAGAAGTAGAAGACGAGGTCGGGAGCCATCTGGCCCACTTCCAGGCACCGATTTTCGCTTCTACACATGTTGAGGTGGTTCAACATCTGATCAGGATCCTCCTGGTCCAGCTGGTAGGAGGCCCCGGGGCAGACCCAGAACACACTGGAGGGATTATAGATCTCATCTGGTCTGGGAACACCTCGGGTCCTCCAGGAGGAGCTGAGGAGAGTAAAGAACATGTACTTCATTATGCATTACCTACAGTATGTTGTACCTGAAGTATACAGTACCTGTAGTACTTGCTGTATGTACTTCCTCCTACTCTGTGGCAGTAGCAGGCACCCCTCAAACTTTCTTGCAAAATTTTCTAGTTTATATTATAGTGGTGTATTGTATATGAATCATGATCATGATGATCAATGATTATCAATCTGATGCTGGTTTTGTTTCATCACTGTAGCGAGTATCTCACTATCACTGTCCTCGATTTTAAGAAGCTACAAATTATATTCAACCACAAAATAAGTCTGAAAAGCTGCAAATCAGATCAGAAGCACAGAGAGTTGTTGACTAGAGATGATACGCCGTCTCATGGCGGTCACTTCCTGTCGACGTTACAGATCAGAAGCACAGAGAGTCGTTGACTAGAGATGATACGCCGTCTCATGGCGGTCACTTCCTGTCGACGTTACAGATCAGAAGCACAGAGAGTCGTTGACTAGAGATGATACGCCGTCTCATGGCGGTCACTTCCTGTCAACGTTACAGATCAGAAGCACAGAGAGTCGTTGACTAGAGATGATACGCCGTCTCATGGTGGTCACTTCCTGTCAACACGCAGCTCTGACAGCAGCTTTCTTTTTTTACTTGTCATTTAATCTCCAGTATGATCTGGACTGTAGAGAAACAGTCCGAACACTGACTCCATGAACGCAGCTGTCACATGGTGTCCTGATGAAACACGTCATCAGAAATCAGAGTGTAACATTATTAATAGCGCGAACACAAGCAGGAAGTGCTTTTAAAGTTTTTATTGGTTTTGTAGTTCATATACAATATCATACATGTATAGTTTATACAAGAATTCACATATTAACACAGCGGCAATCACGATGGCGGCGACATGCTGCCGACACGTTCGTTTGTTTATACCCAAAAAAAAAAAAGAAAAAAAAAAAAAGAAAATCAGATTCAGATAAACTAATAAATAAATAAATAAATGAAGGAGATGTTTCTGTTCGCTGCTTGACTCTGGACAAACTCATAAAAAACAACTCATCCTAACAGGAAGTGACATCACACACCGCTCCTCCAGAACAAACCCACCAACCACAAAGCCCTGTAAATAAAAACAATAAAACAACAAAACTAAAACATGACGTGACGTCTATTCCTCGTCGATACGCAGCTGATATGTTTTTACACCTATCACTACTCCCACTGTGATGTCGTCAACATCTTTTGCCATGGAAACCAACTGAGGACCAAAGAAAAGAGTCTCTGAACACTACACTACCCATCAGCCTTGGCTGCAGCTTTGTGATTGGCTGGTTGTTGGTGACATACACCCCAGTTTTTCCCATCATGTAACAGGATCACCTGTCAGTGACATCAGCAAGGGGGCTGGGCTTCATTTTGGTTCAACTTCCTGTCAAAAAAGAAAAGGAAAGAAAAAACAGAAAATCTCCAAAACCTAAACTGAATAAAATCTGAAAACATCTTCCTGTGTGTGAGCAGAGGGGGCGGAGTCTGTCTCACTGCCTCTCTCTGACTGGTGGAGTGAAATATGGACAGGGTCAAAGGTCAAAGGTCAGGAGCTGAAAAAATCCCTGAAAGCTGATTGGAGCTCAGTGCTGGGCTGCAGGAAGCTGATTGGTCGAGAGGAAGGATCTTTATTGAAAAAAGGGGCAGGGCAAAAACAAAAAAGGAGCGAGCCAATCGAACATCACAGGTGCTGCCAGTCAATGGCGACCAGCGTCTGATTGGCCTCCTGAGCGTGACCGATGACCTCAGCGACGCCGTGCTGACGCCACAGACGCTCGATCTTCCTGTAACGCTCCAGACACAGGTGGAGGGGGTTCCCCCGTCTGCAGGAACACAAATACACAAACAAATAAACAAACAGACAGACAGAGAGGTGACAGGTGGGGTATGTGTGGGCAGGGCTTACTTAAGGCCCTGGTCGGTCTCTCCGTAGTCGTCCAGGTACGGCGGAGGATAAAAGCAGCCCTTAGTTTTACCTGCCACAAACAACACCTGACTCTCCCTGACCCTGCTCACAAACAAACAAACACAAACAGAAAGTGACGGGTCAGAGGATGGCCCACAGTCTCAGTGCTGTCATAGGTACGATTAGGTGTGTGTTACCTGAGGAAGAGCCCGAGGCCTGCTCCACAGGTGAAGGTGTGGGCGGTGCAGGCTCCGACATCCTCGCCCTCCACCTCCGTCTGACAGCAGTAACTCTGAGAACACAACATGGAGCCGCACACCAGACACAGGGTGGGGGCCTGAGACTTATCTCCACCTGACCGGGGACACCTTCACAGGCGACAACAGGTGACATCATCATGTAAACATATACACACACACACACACACACACACACACAGATACATATATGTACTAGTGCTGCACGATTTGATAAAAATGTGCGATTGCAATCTGAGTGGACAATATCGCGATTTGCGACTGTGATTACAATATAATAAATAAATGGTATCATGAGTCTTGTTGCTTGACTCAGTGTTTCCCTACATTATATCAGGGGGCACTGACCTGACAGAGTTATTGTTATGGACAGACAGTGTGTCAATGACCATCAACAGACTGAGCACAGTCAAACACGCTGCTCACACAGCAGCGCAGCACGACACTTTACACACATCGGAGCGAGCCTGTGTTGCGTTCAGGGGTTGTCACGTAAATGACAAACACAGCAGCATGTCAAATGGGCCGTAGTCTCTATATACAGACTCTGCATTCAGTGAATGTAGAGTGATGTGGATGTTGTTTATGAGGCTCTGGTGTCTTTCAGTTGTCTCTTTGTCTTGAACGTTACACGGCTCGTCTTTCTCTCACATGCACTCTTCCTACTTTTCCCTGTGCTGTCTCAAGTGCTGATATAGATTGGTCTTGTTGCCGCGGGACGTGGCGACTTTAACTTTTAAACTTTTACACAGCACGTCTTTCTGTTCAACGTCGCCGTACCTGAATCCAAAGTATCGCCATGTAATAGACGTTGCGTTTTTTTTGCCACCAACTCAGCCTGTTCACGGTCGTGCTCATGCTTTTCTTCAGCGTCTGTGTTGGTCACTGCTGCACGCCGGCTGGTCACCTGACCATACGTGCTGCACACACCAGGATAGCTTGTGGGCGTGATGTCAACAAACTCCACACACTACAGGAGAGGCAGTCACGTTCACAGGCACACATGTTGACATTTATTTACATTAAATCACAAATCGCAGCCTTTGGTGCGGTTAAGTCATCGCACAGCCTGACATCATAATTGCGATTAGATTAATCTTGCAGCACTAATATATATACATATGTATATCTGTGTGTGTGTACAGGGTGTGTACTGACGTGAAGCTGGACGCCTGGTTTATCAGGACGCTGTAGTCCTCTGGCAGGTCGATCAGTCGGTTGGACTCTCTGGGGAACCTGACGATGACTCCGCCCCCCTGCAGCGTCTGTCTCACACCTGGATGACAGCACCACCTGTCATACACACACACACAGAGCACAGGTGAGGAGTTAGAGTCACCTGAAACAGTCACACCTGATTGTGATTGTGTCACTTCCTGTCTGATAACATGTCAAAATAAAAGCCCCATAAACCTGCTCTGATTGGTTGTTATCTGATGACACCATGAGATAATGACATAATGCTCCGACACGTAACGATCAGCAGAGGTCAGATCTGATGTCATATTTACAGGAACACCTGAAGTACGAGGGTTCCTGATTGATCTTCACCACTTCCTGTATCTGTGTGTGTGTGTGTCTTACCTGTGTATGAGCGGCTCCAGCAGTGTGTGTGTGTGTGTGTGTGTGTGTGTGTGTGTTACCTGTGTATGAGCGGCTCCAGCAGTGTGTGTTGACTGTGGTAAAGCTGCAGCAGGTTGGAGGGCAGACTGAGGTAGCTGAGCAGCGCCTCCCACTGACCAGGACCTGTAACTACACACACACACACACACACACACACACACAGGACATATACAGTGATGATGTCAGACTGAGTCCCTGTACTTCCTGTTCATGGACGGTGAACAGTGACATCATACCCAGCAGGTCAGCAGGGGGTGCTGTAGAGTTCAAGTAGTGGAAGAAGAGGGCGGCAGCTCGGAGGAACGGCAGGATGCCAGATTTAACACAACGAACCAGCTGCCAGCCTGATGTCACCTCAGGTAACACACTGACACACACACACACGCACACACGCACACGCATGCACACGCACACACACACACACGCACACACACGCACACAGAGTAATCAGATTACTGCGTGATAAACAAACACATCAATAATAATAAATAATAAAATATGTTCCTGAATTTCCTGATTTCACTTGTTTTAACATATAAATATTAATGTTTATTAATTTACTGATGTGTTTATATTTGTTTACATGTTTACCTGCCCAGGTGTGTCCTCAGTGTGTCATACAAATGACAGGTGAGCTCCTCCTCTGATCCCCCACTGTCCTGATCCATACAGACCTCCTCTGGAGACACACACACAGGTGAGAAAGACAGACAGGTGAGAAACCCAAAAAGTACCTGCAGTGTGTGTGTGTGTGTGTGTGTGTGTGTGTGTCTGTGTGTGAGAGTCACCTGTGGTGGAGGTGAGCAGGATCTGAACCAGGTGAGCCACAGTGACTAGGTGAAGCAGGTGGAGGTGGGCGGAGTCTACCACTCTCTGTCCTGATTGGTCCAGACTGTTAACTGAGTTGTACGACAACACACTGTAAACCTGCAGGGATACGAGGACACCCAGAGTTAACTAGACTCATACTGAGAGTTAACTGGACTCATACTGAGATTTAACTGGACTCATACTGAGAGTTAACTGGACTCATACTGAGAGTTAACTGGACTCATACTGAGATTTAACTGGACTCATACTGAGATTTAACTGGACTCATACTGAGAGTTAACTGGACTCATACTGAGAGTTAACTGGACTCATACTGAGAGTTAACTGGACTCATACTGAGAGTTAACTGGACTCATACTGAGAGTTAACTGGACTCATACTGAGAGTTAACTGGACTCATACTGAGAGTTAACTGGACTCATACTGAGAGTTAACTGGACTCATACTGAGAGTTAACTGGACTCATACTGAGAGTTAACTGGACTCATACTGAGAGTTAACTGGACTCATACTGAGAGTTAACTGGACTCATACTGAGAGTTAACTGGACTCATACTGAGAGTTAACTGGACTCATACTGAGAGTTAACTGGACTCATACTGAGAGTTAACTGGACTCATACTGAGAGTTAACTGGACTCATACTGAGAGTTAACTGGACTCATACTGAGAGTTAACTGGACTCATACTGAGAGTTAACTGGACTCATACTGAGAGTTAACTGGACTCATACTGAGAGTTAACTGGACTCATACTGAGAGTTAACTGGACTCATACTGAGAGTTAACTGGACTCATACTGAGAGTTAACTGGACTCATACTGAGAGTTAACTGGACTCATACTGAGAGTTAACTGGACTCATACTGAGAGTTAACTGGACTCATACTGAGAGTTAACTGGACTCATACTGAGAGTTAACTGGACTCATACTGAGAGTTAACTGGACTCATACTGAGAGTTAACTGGACTCATACTGAGAGTTAACTGGACTCATACTGAGAGTTAACTGGACTCATACTGAGAGTTAACTGGACTCATACTGAGAGTTAACTGGACTCATACTGAGAGTTAACTGGACTCATACTGAGAGTTAACTGGACTCATACTGAGAGTTAACTGGACTCATACTGAGAGTTAACTGGACTCATACTGAGAGTTAACTGGACTCATACTGAGAGTTAACTGGACTCATACTGAGAGTTAACTGGACTCATACTGAGAGTTAACTGGACTCATACTGAGAGTTAACTGGACTCATACTGAGAGTTAACTGGACTCATACTGAGAGTTAACTGGACTCATACTGAGAGTTAACTGGACTCATACTGAGAGTTAACTGGACTCATACTGAGAGTTAACTGGACTCATACTGAGAGTTAACTGGACTCATACTGAGAGTTAACTGGACTCATACTGAGAGTTAACTGGACTCATACTGAGAGTTAACTGGACTCATACTGAGAGTTAACTGGACTCATACTGAGAGTTAACTGGACTCATACTGAGAGTTAACTGGACTCATACTGAGAGTTAACTGGACTCATACTGAGAGTTAACTGGACTCATACTGAGAGTTAACTGGACTCATACTGAGAGTTAACTGGACTCATACTGAGAGTTAACTGGACTCATACTGAGAGTTAACTGGACTCATACTGAGAGTTAACTGGACTCATACTGAGAGTTAACTGGACTCATACTGAGAGTTAACTGGACTCATACTGAGAGTTAACTGGACTCATACTGAGAGTTAACTGGACTCATACTGAGAGTTAACTGGACTCATACTGAGAGTTAACTGGACTCATACTGAGAGTTAACTGGACTCATACTGAGAGTTAACTGGACTCATACTGAGAGTTAACTGGACTCATACTGAGAGTTAACTGGACTCATACTGAGAGTTAACTGGACTCATACTGAGAGTTAACTGGACTCATACTGAGAGTTAACTGGACTCATACTGAGAGTTAACTGGACTCATACTGAGAGTTAACTGGACTCATACTGAGAGTTAACTGGACTCATACTGAGAGTTAACTGGACTCATACTGAGAGTTAACTGGACTCATACTGAGAGTTAACTGGACTCATACTGAGAGTTAACTGGACTCATACTGAGAGTTAACTGGACTCATACTGAGAGTTAACTGGACTCATACTGAGAGTTAACTGGACTCATACTGAGAGTTAACTGGACTCATACTGAGAGTTAACTGGACTCATACTGAGAGTTAACTGGACTCATACTGAGAGTTAACTGGACTCATACTGAGAGTTAACTGGACTCATACTGAGAGTTAACTGGACTCATACTGAGAGTTAACTGGACTCATACTGAGAGTTAACTGGACTCATACTGAGAGTTAACTGGACTCATACTGAGAGTTAACTGGACTCATACTGAGAGTTAACTGGACTCATACTGAGAGTTAACTGGACTCATACTGAGAGTTAACTGGACTCATACTGAGAGTTAACTGGACTCATACTGAGAGTTAACTGGACTCATACTGAGAGTTAACTGGACTCATACTGAGAGTTAACTGGACTCATACTGAGAGTTAACTGGACTCATACTGAGAGTTAACTGGACTCATACTGAGAGTTAACTGGACTCATACTGAGAGTTAACTGGACTCATACTGAGAGTTAACTGGACTCATACTGAGAGTTAACTGGACTCATACTGAGAGTTAACTGGACTCATACTGAGAGTTAACTGGACTCATACTGAGAGTTAACTGGACTCATACTGAGAGTTAACTGGACTCATACTGAGAGTTAACTGGACTCATACTGAGAGTTAACTGGACTCATACTGAGAGTTAACTGGACTCATACTGAGAGTTAACTGGACTCATACTGAGAGTTAACTGGACTCATACTGAGAGTTAACTGGACTCATACTGAGAGTTAACTGGACTCATACTGAGAGTTAACTGGACTCATACTGAGAGTTAACTGGACTCATACTGAGAGTTAACTGGACTCATACTGAGAGTTAACTGGACTCATACTGAGAGTTAACTGGACTCATACTGAGAGTTAACTGGACTCATACTGAGAGTTAACTGGACTCATACTGAGAGTTAACTGGACTCATACTGAGAGTTAACTGGACTCATACTGAGAGTTAACTGGACTCATACTGAGAGTTAACTGGACTCATACTGAGAGTTAACTGGACTCATACTGAGAGTTAACTGGACTCATACTGAGAGTTAACTGGACTCATACTGAGAGTTAACTGGACTCATACTGAGAGTTAACTGGACTCATACTGAGAGTTAACTGGACTCATACTGAGAGTTAACTGGACTCATACTGAGAGTTAACTGGACTCATACTGAGAGTTAACTGGACTCATACTGAGAGTTAACTGGACTCATACTGAGAGTTAACTGGACTCATACTGAGAGTTAACTGGACTCATACTGAGAGTTAACTGGACTCATACTGAGAGTTAACTGGACTCATACTGAGAGTTAACTGGACTCATACTGAGAGTTAACTGGACTCATACTGAGAGTTAACTGGACTCATACTGAGAGTTAACTGGACTCATACTGAGAGTTAACTGGACTCATACTGAGAGTTAACTGGACTCATACTGAGAGTTAACTGGACTCATACTGAGAGTTAACTGGACTCATACTGAGAGTTAACTGGACTCATACTGAGAGTTAACTGGACTCATACTGAGAGTTAACTGGACTCATACTGAGAGTTAACTGGACTCATACTGAGAGTTAACTGGACTCATACTGAGAGTTAACTGGACTCATACTGAGAGTTAACTGGACTCATACTGAGAGTTAACTGGACTCATACTGAGAGTTAACTGGACTCATACTGAGAGTTAACTGGACTCATACTGAGAGTTAACTGGACTCATACTGAGAGTTAACTGGACTCATACTGAGAGTTAACTGGACTCATACTGAGAGTTAACTGGACTTATACTGAGAGTTAACTGGACTCATACTGAGAGTTAACTGGATTCATACTGAGAGTCAACTGGACTTACACTGGGAGTTAACTGGACTTATACCAAGAGTTAACTGGACTCATACTGATAGTTAACTGGGCTTATACTGAGAGTTAACTGGATTCATACTGAGAGTTAACTGGACTTACACTGGGAGTTAACTGGACTTATACCAAGAGTTAACTGGACTCATACTGAGAGTTAACTGGATTCATACTGAGAGTTAACTGGACTTACACTGGGAGTTAACTGGACTTATACCAAGAGTTAACTGGACTCATACTGATAGTTAACTGGGCTTATACTGAGAGTTAACTGGACTTATACTGAGAGTTAACTGGACTCATACTAAGAGTTAACCGGGCTTATATTGGGAGCTAACTGGACTTACACCAAGAGTTAACTGGACTTATACTGGGAGTTAACTGGATTCATACTGAGAGTCAACTGGATTTATACTGAGAGTTAACTGGACTCATACCAAGAGTTAACTGGGGCTATACTGAGAGTTAACTGGACTTATACTGCGAGTCAACTGGATTTATACTGAGAGTTAACTGGATTCATACTGAGAGTTAACTGGATTATTACTGAGAATTAACTGGAGTTATACTGAGAGTCAACTGGACTTATACTGAGAGTTAACTGGACTTATACTGGGAGAATATGTAGTGATGAAACTCACCAGCAGGTGAAACATGTCGATGTCGAGGATACAGACGGTGTCTTCAACCTGAGAGTCTGGAACCAGGGCTACAACCAACACACCCATGTTACAAACACATACAACTGTTAACCTGTATGTGTATGTATGTATGTGTGTGTATTACCTGCAAGCAGCCTGATGAAGTGTGTTTGAACAGTCGTCAGTGGCGCAGCAGTCCAACAGGAAGAACTGAACCTGGTCAGAGAGCTCAGACAGTCGTCCTGAAACACACACACACACACACAGTTGATGTCTTCATATTGACATAGTGTCAGTCAGGATGTACCTGAGGTGAACAGAATGACAGGACTTCCTGTTTCTGATCAGCCTGTGACACACCTCCACCTGAGACACAACCTGCTGACTTCCTGTTGACTGTGACTGATTATTGATCAGCTCAACCTCTAAAGCCCCACCACCCAACCCCTCCTGTCCAATCAGACAGCCCGTACAGACTGAGTGTGTTACCTGTCTGCAAGGTAAACTTCCAAACAATGGCTTCTCGTCGTCCATCAGGAGGCGCTCTGCAAAGAAACACACAGTCAGCATGACCTTTGACCCGTCAGGTGTGTGTATACCTCTGACCCGTCAGGTGTGCGTGTACCTCTGACCTCTCAGATGTGTGTGTGAGTACCTCTGACCCCTCAGGTGTGTGTGTGTGTGTGTGTGTGTGTGTG